AAAATATCGGTATAGTGAGATTTTAATAGGTATCGGTATAAAAAATATCGGTATAAAGAGGTTTGACTGTATATATTTATATTTTAAGAAGCAAGTGCCTACCATGCTTTATTTTATTAATTATAAATTTAGACTTGCAAAGCAAGATTACAATCATCAATAGCATGACATACATCTTTCTTTGCTAGGAAGATGATTACTCTATATATTTTATCAAAATTTAGTTATTATAATAAAATTAATAGAACATCTTTCAAAAATCAATTTATTTAAATAATATTTAATTTTCTAAGCAAATTTGCTTGGTAAACAATTTAAGGACTAATAAATAATAGTTTTTTTAACAGATTTCTATTATAATAGTTGATGTTAAAAATATTGAAAAAATAACATTTCTTGATACTTATATACCGTAATAAATAATTTTATTTTTTCCATAATATTTTACAACCGTTCTTTTCATATAACTACAGCAATCATTATTACATTATTCATTCTTTAATATAGACTAATCAATAAATTAAATGGAATTGCGTGAGTTCTTATAAGACACGTTGTTAGGGAAGTCAGCCTTTAAATTTTATGTCAAGCTTAATTTATTTTTTGGTAAACATTGATCAAGAAATTTGAACCAAAAAAAATTTTTTCTTTTCTTTAATGTTAAAAATTAAAAAGATACGCGAATAGGAATTAATAAACTATCGTTTATCATCTAGTGAATGATTTTTATGCTAAGTTAGCAGCGGCAGCAATGTTTTATGTTGTGAATATATATAACCATTTGAGATGGATGGTTTTTTATTTTCCTTTTGAATATCCTTTGTATTCTCATCTGTTGTGTTTGATTGAAGTCTTCTCCTTTTCTTGTAATTCCTAAATTTCAATAAGTTAATAATTAAATAATAATTACTATTAGTAAGTTTTGTATACTGTTAATAAAACTTACCAAATCTAACAATTTTTTTCTTTGCTCCCTCAACTTTCTGCTCGATATAACGTATGCCCCTAGGGGTGTTTCGCCAGGATCCACATTCCGCAAAAACGATTTCTTTAGAGGAAAGGGAAAGAATTAAGTTTTACGTCACGACATTCCAGAGATCAGGAAAAAAAGACTTACCACTTGGGCATGATTATTAGGACTAATTTCGGTTTGTGACCGGTGTTGTTCAATATATTTTGAGTTTTGTTCCAACTATGATTACGAAAATGATAGCGTAAATATAACATGATATAGTAGCATAGAATACAATGAATAAATCTATACCTTTTCAACTAATTGTTGAAGTTGTTTGTTGATTTTAAGATTTTTGGAATTTTTGATGTGTCGTTTTATCTACAAAATATGATTTCAAATATGCTTCTATTTCTGAAGTAGGCAATTAAATAATTATTGAATTCGGAAATACCTGAATTATAGGCGGAATCACTAATTCGGGAAATGCAATCGACAAACAAAAACACGAATAATACTCGAACAAGAGCTCTAAAAGTTCTTCGCAGATACCGTCCTAAAAAATTAGTCACATCTTTAGATCAAGGTATATTAATGAGTAAATTTTGTTTGTATAAAAATCAATCCATTAAAAACCTGATATATTCGAGTATGTAGATAGCTTTTGGGTGCTTTTATTATTGACGTAAAATCTAGTGGCTTCAACGTGGATGGTTTAGGCTTTCGTCGCACTTCTGAGGAGTGTAAAACATCAAATAAATAAGGTGCCAAGGGAATAAATGTTCCGGTCTTTTGAATTAGATGGATTAAAGAGCGGATACAATGAAATTGAAAAGGAAAGTATTGTGCTGCTGGATTCAATCTGATATAATTGAGAGGTGATGGTCAGCACTGAGAAAGAAAAATTTAATTTAAAAAAAATTTTAATTATACCTCATTACACCAGTAGTGACTTGAACCAATGGATAAATCAACTCTCTTAGTGAATTTTCACCAGTAACTTCCACGCGCTGTTGATCGCAATAAGCCGCCAATACCTTTGACCAATACTCGATACAGTGAACGTACTGCCAATTATACACCGCGTTGAAAGTTTCCTAAGAGGAATTAAATTTTAATAATTTGACTAATTTTGCGTTTATCAAATTAATATATATCAAGTAAAAAATAGCTATTAACCTCATTCTTGTTATTACTAGAATTTCTTAAATGAATGGCCAATTGTCTAATGTAACCAAACGCAGATTGATATGAACTCTTAAGATCAATACCATATATTTCAACTGCGCAATTACTCATTAAATTAATAGATGGTATGGTGAAGGTGGTGGTATCTTTACAGTATCGGACAAATGTTGTATAGATTCCCTGTATGCATTTGGCGATGTTTTGATAAATAATTTCAATCAAAAACGAGAAACTTTAGAATATCACGCTTTTTCTCACCTTTAGGCAAAAATCAATAAACGGGGGCGGCGCGGTAGACGCGAGCTTTCGAATGTTGAGGAACGCAATTATTCGAGTCTTGTCTTCTGCAGTCCCCCAAATTTCAAGTAATTGCTAAATAAAAAAGGTTAATGATTATAAGATTAGTTTTAAACTATAATTAAAAAAAGCTTTGAGTGTGAAGGTAACATGATAATACCTTTAAATAATGTTTGGCTAATTTTGGATTACATGCATAGTAAGGAATCGCCTTTTCCGATTCTTTCACAATGAAGTAAATCATATTGTCTTCCGTGACTTGCTTAAGCATGTAAAGGAGATTACTTAAATAGGATTTCACAAGAGGTTCAACAGTCTTCCATTTTCGACGCGTACACAAAAGATTCCTATTTCACAATTCACACATACCATGGTTACATGGATAACATAAATATTTGGAATAAAGTGTACACAATCATACTTTTTAGAGACTTCTTGATTTTTCACCTTCAGATGATGGTCAAAAACTTCTGTGACGCTCTTCAGGCAAACCACGATCAAATTATTGAACACTATGCACCAAAATAAATAAAATAAATACCATTACACTGTAATAGATCAAAATAAATATATGAAAACTACCTGTGGGATCGGTAATTTTAAATGCAAATGGTTTTTCATCATCATCATCATTGATATGAGCAGCAGCACGAAAAGCCAATAGTAATCGTTGAAGTGACTTCAAAGAATTAGTCTAATTGAAAAAAAAAAACAGTATAAAAGACACGACCAAATCGCTTATAACATTCTTTCATTTATTTAAAAAACTTTCTTAATACCTTGACAACGGATTCTTGCCACTGGGTAATCATCTCCACAGTTAAAGTTGGAGTTCCAGTGTCATCATCCAGACCTGCTTCTTTCAAGGCTGCAGCCTCTTCCTCCTCCTCGTCATCATCATCATCTAGATTCATTTTCTATGTGTTTAATGAAAAAATGTGAATCAAAAGAACTACAAGTTACATTATTGATATTAATAGTTGCATAGCAAGCTGCTAAATAGTCACTGCTGTTCATTATTCATAAGATATTACTTCGTTACTATCGTTCCCTTCGTTATCTTCATCCTCACTTCCACTGTCGTCAGTTATATCAAAATTCAGTAATTCAGAATCATTCTCTTGGAGATACTTGTAAAATTCGGAATCCTTTTCCTTTAGCAAATCAAGTTGTTTTTTATGCTCAGCGACATCTTCTTTCAATGAACGTTTGTTCTTGTGTGTAGAATCTTGAGCATCATCTTTATCACTTTCTGAAGGTTTATCAAAATCTACATGATCCATATCATCTGAAGATTTATCGAAATCTGCAATAATTGTGTCGTCCGAAAATTCATCGTCTCTTTCGTGCGATTCGTTTTTTTCACCGTGATCACTATAAAAAAAAAGTAAAATCTTTTGATTATCATTTCTCAATAACATCGAAACTTCTTGACCAAAAAAAATTTTACTTTAAGAATTCATCAAATTCCTGTTCTTCAGCGTTTGTATCTTCCTCGTCACTTTCATGTTCACTGAATTCAAACAAATTTTCTTCTTTCTTTTTTTTGTTTATTTTTTCTCCGTCGGTGCTAACTACATTCCTTTTCCTTTTTTGTTTTTCCAAAATTTTCTGTTTTATCTTTTTATTCTTATTCCTTCGTTCAATAGTTGGCTTCAGATAGTTCTTTTGAAATTTTTTAAAGGATTTCTTGGTTTTAGCCATGTTCCCTTCGAGAATTTCGAGAATGCAACGAATGTAAAATTTGAGATACAATTACATAGATCGATCTACATATCATTGATCATGTGCAAAATTTTTTTTGTAGTTTGCGAAAAAATGGGAGAGTCGCTTTTTATTATTATAAAGATTTATAATTTTACAAATAAAAAATTTATTTATTTTATAAAATTAATTTATATATCATAAGAAATATTCAATAAAATTCTATTTAATTTTATAATTAATTTTAAATTAAAAATTTTAATAGTATAAAAAAAAGATAACAAAATTTAAAAAATTTCAAATTAATATTCTATAATAAAATTACTCATTAACTAATAACAAAACTTTAATAATATTATTTTTAGAACCACAAAACTATTATCTGTTATATTAGTTTTATTTAAATTAAATAAATATTTATTATATTATAATAAAAAATATTAGTCTAAAGACTTTGCATTATATTGTATATAGATTAAAATTAATTTTTATTTAAATAGTTACTTTGAGATATTGATTTTGTTTTTATCTAAAAATTAAATATATGTTAATGGGACCTGTGGGTCTATAGCACAGTGGTTAATGCTCCGCAGGTCAAATCTCAAGATAATGGTTCGAATCCTCCAGGGGGCTAACGTGGATCCTCAAACCAGGAGGCAGAAGATCAGTATCTTCTGATCACTGTCACAAGATACCAAGTTCAGTTTCAGGTAAAGGTAACTGGACCGTCTCAAGATGATATCTGTGCAATAACCTAACATGCGCTGTTTCCTATAAGAAGCCAATTCACACGTTGATTCAACAGACATTAGGATTGTGATATCAAGAAAGGTGTAGCGGTGTAATGATCGTCTGGCAGTGTTACGATAATCGTTGTCAAGTTTGATGCTTTCCCTGATACTCATGCATGGAGTATGCTTCCTTACCCCTATAGTCCACAAAACTATAAAAGAAAACCTCGATTTTTCAAGAGACCTAGCTAAAGCTACAAAGATTCCTTGTTAGATATGGCTAGTTTGCGGCTAACTGTTCTAGGATACGGTTCTTTAAGTTTCTATTCATCGGATAGTGAGTGGAACTGAAAGGCACATATCCTGGCACATTAGCACTCTACC